ATCATAGGTTCCTGGCGTGTCCAGGGGACGCAACTCTGCACAGCGAATCGCGGCGCCTTAGACGACTGGGCCACCTGTGCCCCCCCCCCCCCCCCCCCAAAAAAAAAAAATAATAAAAAAATAAAAATTAACGGAACACAGATTACGCCTGAGGGTGTATAAGTAATATTTGATCGAAACTTTTAACGTCTTTTGGTATGACGCGGCTGGGGATCGAACCCCGGATCCGGGCGGACGCTCTAGCATTAGGCCACGGAGGCGGTCAGACAAACAAGAAATGGTTACTGGTATTTGATGGTGATGTATTTGAAGCTGGTGCCCAAGTAATGTTTTGGATCTTAAAATGCAATATTTTTGCAACTGTTTCCAACTGGTAACTTTTCTATAAAAGCTTGTAAGTTTTGGGTCAAATCCAATTTTAAAGTGTTTCCTATCTATGTTATTTGATATTTCAGTAGCAATTGAACAAACGAACCACTTATGCCCATATGACTTGAAAGAGGCCACTCTCTGTTTGAACTAACAATACCTCTTCTGATATTGTATTATCGAAATTATCAAAGTCTTGTAACGTGTTTAATTTGCACATGGCAATGGTTTTATTGTAATTGAATTCAGAACAGATGTCTCAATGTGAACATGTTGACTATTGCAAGACAACGATCCTGTATTGATTTCAGTCTTTGTTGGCGATAAAACAAGACACCAGACAATATGTGACATTGATCGACACCTTGCTACAGGTGGTGTATATATCAAGACTGATGTACACCATGCCGGTGTTCTTGCAAGAAAGCTACTGTTTAGTCATCATGAGATTTTAAAAAATCATCAAATACAAATACGGCTTTTGAAATACAATGAACATAATTCTTCAGATATTTCAGATGAATAATGTGGCACATGATAAAAAGCAATTTTACTCGTGGTGTCTTGATTCGTTTAAATACACATTCCGATTTTCGACATCTGAGCATTTGCTAATTCAAATATATGGATTTTTTTGACGAAACGAAATAACGTGACTCGACATCTAAATGAGGACTAGCGCTATTTACATACGCAATACGCGTGGTCTCTAGTCGGCGTTGAGAGGGCATGACTGGGCTCTGTCTGTTATGTTCTATTATACAACGTTATATCTCGTGAGTCTGTCTACCGCGAGTCTGGAATGTGTTTGCACAGCAATAACGTGTGTCTATGTTCCATTAATACGGCTAGATCAAACATTTCTTTCAAGATATTCGTTTACCGTTAGATTGAGAACACATGTACGTCAACACCATCACGTCTATTATGACAAATGTATTCAGTTTTGAGATTTTCAAAGCGCTAAGAAATGTGGATGTGTACATTTCCGTCCATGTGTGAATGGTTTGCAGTTGAAATGCTTGGTGATGTGTTGCGTAAGGTTCACCTGATTCTTCTCGGCACTCGGATTAACTCGGGTCCACTCGGATTCTTCCGCCATGAATATGATCTAGTGGTTTAATGGGGTGTAATATTTTGTATAAATGGTCTTATTACATACAACGTAGGTATCTGCGTGTTTTTTTGTTCCGTTTTAAAACAATTCTGATTAAAGGTAGCCATTGATCGATATCCAAAGGCTAGAAGATCCGAGGTAACACGTGGCCTAAGTAAGTCACAGTGGAATTGGTTTTCTGTAAGGACACCAGTTTTATTACTGCCGGCTAGGATTTATTTTATTAAACCCCGAGACGCGAAAAATAGCACAATATTGTAAGCCTCGTTTTGGGATAAGCAGCGCTTAGAATGAGCCGTCGATGGTTATCTTTAATATTGCGACAGGGATGTAACATTATGAGCGAGAGATTAAAAGTTCGAATGAACATGCATCACTTTTGATTAACCCACGGATATAATCGGTCAACGAATGATAAGAACGCAGCGAAACCTGGCCTTGGGCCACAGGGCCTAAATAGCGTGTAAAAAGTGATTCAGAATTGCGTACGCCATTTGCACGTGTTTGATACATTAGTGACTAAAGAATTTCAGGATGCAATTCCCTATTTATTTATTTTACAATAATGTTCCCGTGTTGTTGTTTTTGTGAACAATTGACTTGCCTTTGCATGTGTTTGTGAATGGACGCCACCGGCATGGCATGACACGCTCACCTTTTCGCGAACACCTGGTATCATCACTAACTGATAGTGATTCATAAACATATACTCATGATAAAGTCGGAATTGTATAATAGACTCTGCATTGAGAAACGCTGTATGCTAGAATCCATACCGACTGCTGTGTATTTGGCAAGGGAGTCTTCTTCTCCAGTGCTTGTCTTCTTGTTTGATTTGGAAATTGTCATACACAAGATTAGGGCGAGATAAGTGGATTTGGATGGTTGATATCAAACAGAACCTCTATATTTATTCAGTGGAGAAATATGCGTAAATACCTTTGAAATTAGATTAATAGAACGAGAGCTTATCGCTGAACCTTGTTTGTACAGGAACACGTTTTCTCTCGAGTATTGATATGTATTTTCCTTGCTTTTGATCTGTACCTACAAAGATTATACTTGTGCAGAACGTGAGGCAAAAAAATAGCTCAACGGAAAGATCTAGTGACACATTTTCTCGTCAAGTCAGAAAACAGTAACCATTTTCATAAACATTATATGTTCTTATGGATATATCAAGTCTTAAGTGACGTCACAAATGAAGTACTGCGTCCAACTGAACCAGATGTCAAATTCCAAAACAATTTATGTTTTGCACTGTGTTATGCCTGTCAGATATCATTGTGTGCAAGTATTTAAATGTTTGTTTTAAATATTTGATAAGGCACAAAACGGGTTATTGGAATGTCCCTTTTTTTGCGATACTGCGATAGATAAGGCAATGCATTATGCATGACAGTTTCACATTGTGAACATAGTTTCCCAAACGAGCTCATATGAATATTAATATTTGATTAGTTGTTCGTCATTTTTCTGCCTGAAAGGTTAGTCATGATATCGCTAGCAGTGAAATAATTTTATTTTCAAAAGCCTTAGGAGACAGAAGGTTGCTGGTTCCATAGGACGATCTTGAGGACGTATGTATTCTGTCGATGCAACATGGCAATTTAATGTTAAAGGAATATGGATTTGTACGTCAGGTAATACCACGTATTGTGTCTGTATCAGGAGTATTGATCCTGTACACTTTGGGTTTTCTTTCAGCTCTGTTATAAGGTATCATGGCACGACCTTTCTCTTCACGTATCAGATGTTGTTATTTCAGTTTTAACAATTCTCTTCGAGCATATCATTTGCTGCGATTCACTGTCACTAAAACATTTTTGTATGATTACTGAAAGGGACATTATGCTTTTGTAAACTCCAATCTGTACCTCTTGTATTATATGTCATGGCTGAGTGTTAATAATTAAGTCCATTGTTGCTTTGGGTCGTTGTATTAGATAAACGTTAATGGGGTACTTTTCGAATTCGAGTAGTTAAGTACGGTTTGCCAACAACGAATGATTCTGCCAGTAAATGGACATCCTACCGTTCTAGTTGTGGCATCAGATGACAGAATCACATCTTTTGTATTCCCGTATTCAACACGCTTTTAACATTTAGATATACCCTATCGGTGATACATCTCGGTTTACAAATCTATACAACATTAATCTGAAATGGACGACGTAAACCTCAGTCACGCAAACACCCAGTTTCCTGATGCTATAGAAAGAAACGGATGAAGAGAAGCCCACCTATTGATACGAGATGACACTGATATAAAGCGACAAGGGTTGTTCCTACATACGATGGACATTAGCGTTAATAACGACGGAGAGAAAAGCTCTCCCTGCCATGTCCACTCATGTCGGTCGTGTGGCCTGTCAAGGTGCAAGGTTAGATAAGTACCCGCATCACGCAAATGCTTGTTTTGTGAGGATGACATTTATTGTTAGTTTATGAACTAGTGTCGGATACGAAGGATGTTTCTCTGACACGCCCTATACTTTCACGTATTTTGGGACTTCTCTGCACGTGTACAGCATTGGAGAAAAACCGGCTTAATCATTTTTTATCACGCGATATCACCGGGGAGATTATTGTTTTCGGATAGATGTAAAATATATTACAATATTTACAGAATATGGTTCAGAATGGTTGAAAGGCGACATTGATGTATTATTATTTTTTATTTTTTTATTATTATTATTATTATTATTATTATTATTGTACAGATGTTTCAATGCTGTGAACCGTAACATCATTACTGCCATATGCACTATCGAATGCTATAAGAAAACGTTATAACGAACTGTGGATATTACACTCAAATAGCACTCACATAGTACTCGAATAGTGCTGGTATAAAGCCCTGCAAGCAATTAATTTCCTATCGTGATTAAACCCTCCAATAATCAGTTAAAACATACCTCGTGTCTCCAAACTTCCGACAAAACAAAGTATCAATGGCATGTAATGTTCTATACCAAAACTATGTTGATCATACGTTTAGAACTATTGATACCCTACTAGCTGTCACTCAACAGCTGCCGAGATAAATTACAGCAGTAGTTTTTGTTGGCGGACAGGACATTACTGCATTATCTTGTTTTGTTTGGGGTCACGTGTCTGTTTATTACGGAAATCGACAATCTGCCGAGTTTGCCCAAGTGTGACCAAGACTTTCATGCCCGGACGACGGTCAGCTTATTTGTCAGACAAACCTTCCCATTGTTAAAGGATGCTCACTAGGCGTGTCATATGAACCTGGTGATAAAAACGAGCTTCCCAAGACACTCTTAGTCTCTCACAGTCGGAGAGTTTCACTCTGTAGGGTTGGTAGGTATTCAGACCGTCCGTGTCTGTAAGTTCAGTGCCCTTGTATTCTGAATGTAGGTTAGAATTTTGTGAGCTGAAGTTAAACCAGACTTGAGTCATTTACCAAAAATAATTTTCTTGGTCTTCTGTGTATTTTCGTCACATTTATTTCTTATGAAATCACTAATTTATCTTTTTATGTTTTCAGATTGCGGATCAGGAGTGCATGGTCTAAATCAGCTTGATACCAACCCATCAACATGTTTCGCTGGTTGAAGGACCGGAAGAAGCAGAAGAAGAACCCTAAACAGGGGGACGTGAGTGACGACTACGGTTTCCAGGCAGGCGCCAGAGACAACGACGATAAGGTCTACCACATCTACGAGGAGATCCCGGACCTGCCGAGCTGTGTGTCACAACCCGGAGCATCCAACAGTGAACTTTCCTCAAATGTCCGAGAAACATCGTTTTCGGATCCTAACACTTCCTTTGACCAGTCTACAGCTTCGGTGTTTAGTGCTGAGACTCTAAGGAAGTATATCATCGGATCCCAGGACAAGGGAACGGAGAATCCCCCAAAGAAAGATGGGCCGTACATGGTTGTTCCTCTTCTGAATTCGACGGAAGAGGAGAAACCGCCACTCCCTCCACCCAATGAGAAGAAGACCGAGTTCACATGTGCGTTGGTTGGACGAAGGAACTCGAGTCTCTCACGAAGTACCGAGAGCGGTGTTGAGGTGTCTTACGACTCATCGGAATCTCTTGAAGAGGACTCCCATTGTCTTGAAGATATTGATGTGCAGGACTTGCTTGGGGAACGTCTCGTCTCAAAGTCTCGTGTGCGTATGCATGCGCGTGAGGCATCCCTTGACACAAGCGACACCGGCTACGAGTACGACATGAGTACTTCCAGTGAAAGCGATCAAGCAAACTATGAGTACTATTTGAACAAAATTGAAGAGAATCTCATCCACAAGTGCAAAATCCGAGAGATTATTCAGCAATGTGTTCCAGAGGAAGGAGAGTCGGATCATGAATCTTTGACCACGGTGTCCAGCCTCTCCTGTTGTTCATCAACACGGACATGCCGAGTAGGTGGACATCGGTCAACGGACATCGAGTCAGACGAAGGCACCTTGGCTGACCACTCCGAATCCGAAAATAGCAGTGGATATTATGAGACCTTCAATGGCCCAAAAGATAAACTTTCTCCACGGTGTGCATTTTTGCCCTCGGGTTCAAGACCTTTAAAATATGACTCCAAAATGTGCCCAAGGGAACATTCCCACGACTCTCATAGACAACATTTTATCAAGAACAAAAAGAGGACTGTGCCAAAAAAGTGCAAGCATCGAAGTGTTGATGCCCTGGGCTTGTGTATTCCCAGTGCATCCTCGGGAAATTCTTGCAAACACAGGAGTATTGACGCTTTGAGTTTGTGTAGTTCTCAAAAAAGTGCATTTAAAAAGGTGAACCGACCGGATCAGTTGGTTGGATCAAAGATGCAATCCCGAAACAGTAGTGTCGGAAGGTTGCATGGTATAACACCAAGAGACAATGAGCCAGCAATTAAACTGGACTTATACGAGCCCCTTGCTGACTCCTCCCTGTACGATATGGACTACGGTACATCTAGGAGTGTGTGTTCAGTGGACTCTGAAGGACGGGAGGTATACTCCCCTCCACCCAGTGTCAAAGACTTCTCCTCCAGGAATACTGGTCTGCCATCCAGAGGTTCTATACAACGGCCAATGGTTTCTACAAATGTATACAGATCTCAAGGCAGCCAGAACCGACTTCTGTCCGACCTAATCATCATGAACTATGACAGACAGTTATTTATTCATTAACGTGTTGACTTGGATACTGTGTGTGATACGACCGAGTTACCAGACCATCTCAACTGGGACGATCAACTCGCACACAATCAACATTCAATCACCAGTGTCCATTCAGCGGGAGGAGCTTTTGTTGAAGAGCATTGGTATACTTAAACAGACTCGTAGGACATAAGTGCCTTATCATGAATGAAATATTCATGGCGTGTAATTATATACACATACGTTCAATAAGCTGTGAATGCTTACCGAACCTGTTTTGATGAAGTCCCTGACTGAAAGAGTATATAGTGCTTTATTCCTTCTGTTCCGTGTTCGTTGGGTTCGCCTATTTCATCCCTTGAGGTCGTTTACCGATGTGAATCCTGTTGAAATAGGCAAATCTCCAACGATCTTTCTACTAACCTAATGGCATTATCCGATCTTTTACCAGACATAATTTGAATACCATGTCAATTTACTATGATCCTTTTGACTCTGGAGCTTCTCATCTTGGGGACTGCTATGAAAAGATCTAATCTAAATATGACGACAGGGTCTGTAAACATGTTTGTATAAGGTCAACAAACATCTCATGATCAAATAGTGCCATTGATGTGGCGCCTTTACGAAGTGTTATTGAATGTATTTATGCCATGCTATGTTTTGATGGGGTTTCACCTCATGACAATCACAATAAAGAACATGAATATAAGTACGGAGTATTGTCATTGATACACCCAGACAGTTGTGTGGCGTGCTAAGAGTACAACATCCACCGCTTCATATGGATAGATCAACCTTCGGGAAAATACTGCTTCTTAGAGTACACAGCATACCATATAATGTGAATAGTGTGACGGCTGCTTCAAGTGCAATCCATTTGATGTGTTTCAAGTATAGCATAATCCATTTGATGTGAATAGTTAAGACTGTTTCAAGTATAGCATAATCCATTTGATGTGAATAGTTAAGACTGTTTCAAGTATAGCACAATCCATTTGATGTGAACAGTTCGACTGCTGCTATAAAATACAATCCATAAAATGTAAATACTAGTTAGACTGATTGAATACGTATTTGATGTGAATAGATCGAGTACAATACAATCCATTGTATGTGAATAGTGTGACGGCTGCTTCAGTCTATTTGATGTGAATAGTTAAGACTGTTTCAAGTAAGGCGTAATCCATTTGATGTGAACAGTTCGACTGCTGTATAGAGTACAATACAATCCATTTGATGTGAACAGTTCGACTGCTGTATAGAGTACAATACAATCCATTTGATGTGAACAGTTCGACTGCTGTATAGAGTACAATACAATCCATTTGATGTGAACAGTTCGACTGCTGCTATAAAATACAAACCATACACTGTGAATACTGGTTAGACTGATTCAATGCGTACATCTAATTGATGTGAATAGATCGACTGTTGTTTAGAGTACAATACAATCCATTGTATATTGAACAGCTTGCATGCCGCTTGAAGGATAGGACACATAATTTGTTTTTATTAGTTGACTACCAGTTCACATGAATAGTTTAACGACCACTTGGTTTGTTTGTTTGTTTGTTGTTTAACACCACACTCAGCAATATTCCAGCTATGTGACGACGGTCTGTAAATCATCGAATCTGGACCAGACAATCCAGTGATGGACATCATGAGCATCGATCTACGCAATTGGGATACGATGACATGCATCAACCAAGATAGCGAGCCTGGCTACCCGATCCCGTTAGTCGCCACTTCGACAAGGATAGTCGCCTTTTAAGGCAAGCATGGGTTGCTGAAGACCTATTCTACCCCGGATCTTCACGGGTCTTGCCATTTAGTAAAACACGAGCAGGAGCATGATGCCTATAATATGTTACTGGCACGCCTATGGGGTGAACACTGCAAGCAAATGGCTAGCCTTAGACAGCTGAAAACTAGTAACCCCATCTAAGTGCGCTTAAACATCCTAGTTTGTTATTACATGTTTGAAGTTTAATTTTTTTCATACCCAACATACCAGGAATGGGAAACACGAACACATAAAGCACAGACACATTCAGAGGATCTCGCTTCAGGAAAGTTTATTTAACCCCTTGTCTTAATATGATCAAAGAGGTTTCACAACACAGATGATTTGTTTGGTGGTAAAAAATACGGTACCCATTTTTCACATTGTTCATTGAACCGGGTCATCCTCCGGTTCACAGCGGCGAAATAACATACCGGTGCATCTTCAAACAAACCACTGCATGCAGTGGGCTCTCCTGGGCCACGATCTACAAAGGGTTTTAAACTTTACGGCTGTCGAAGGGGGATGTTAATGTAGTGGAGTACGATCGTTTTAGCGCTAAGATCGCTTTGTGGATATGCTAGAAACTACGATCCATGTACATATATGAGGTGAGGTGAGGTGAGGTGAGGTGAGGTGAGGTGAGGTGAAATGGGGTTTAACGTCGCGTCCAAGATTATTGCACTTATATAGCGACGTGCATGTACGTGTGTGTGTTTGTGTGGCTGCTTGTACTAGTCCGGACTGATGCCGATTCATAGTGCTAGCTCACTGAGATACCATGCCGCAGTTTAACATGAATACCCAACTGTATACTGACTCCGAGCCGACCAGTCCTTGTTTTAGACCATTAATGCCGAGCGCCAGACAGGGTAACAACAAGTACCATCTTTTAATGTCTTTTGGTATGACGCGGCCGGGGATCGAACCCCGAACCTTCCGCTCTCCGGGCGGACGCTCTACCACAAGACCACGGAGGCGGTCGTACATATATGAAGTCGGTTCATTTTGAAATACTGTAAACTACGGTTATAACGAACTCAAGGGACCTCTAATTTTAGTTCGTTATAACCGTAGTTCGTTATAAGCATATATACAGCATATATGCAACACTTTGCCGGGGCTAACAAGTTAGTTCGTTATATCGGTCAGTTCGTTATAAGCGTGTTCGTTATAACCGTAGTTTACTATACAGTACTACGGTTATAACAAACTCGAAGGGACCTCTAATTTTACTTCGTTATAACCGTAGTTCGTTATAAGCATATATACAGCATAACAACAGCAAATAGTCGGGAGAAAAAAGTAAGTTCGTTATATCCGTCAGTTCGTTATAAGCGTGTTCGTTATAAACGTAGATTACTGTAGCTCTAATGCAATCCTGTTATTGCGGACCCCGTTAATATGGACATACATATCGTATTTTCTTGCATACACATATCGTAGACGTTGGGATATATGGATCGTACTCGTTGGGATATGGAGATCGTACGCGTTGGGATATATTGATCGTACTTGCTGGCATACATATATATCGTACAGATTGGCTTAATTAGATTGTACTCTTTGGGAAATATAGATCGTACGCGTTGGGATATATTGATCGTACTTGCTGGCATACATATATCGTACAGGTTGGCATATATAGATCGTACTCGTTGGGATATAGAGATCGTACTCGTTGGCATACATACATCGTACTCGTTGTGATATGTAGATCGTACTCGTTGGGATATATAGATCGTACTCGCTGGCATACATACGTCGTACTCGTTGGGATATGTAGATCGTACTCGTTGGCTTATATAGATCGTACTCGTTGGGATATATAGATCGTACTCGCTGGCATACATACGTCGTACTCGTTGGGATATGTAGATCGTACTCGCTGGCATATATAGATTGTACTTGCTGGCATATATAGATCGTACTCGTTCGCATATATAGATCGTACTCACTGGCATATCGAGGGCTGGTCAAAAGGCTCGAAGCCTGAGTAACGTTCACCTATGGACCATAACAAAGTGAACTAGTCAGTGTAGTACATTGTTTGAGTAGTTCATTGCAAGTTCTGTTGAGGCCGTTTGATTATAAGTGACAGCCAGTTGAGCGCGATAGGGGTCCAACTGGACACAGAAATGGAAAAGAACGAGTACCGATCAGTCATCAAGTTTTTGACTTAAGAGAAAAGTACTCCCCAAAACATTCATGACCGCATTTCATAAGTGTATGGGGATAAGTGCATTCGTTATTCCACTTGGAGAACGAGCCTTCATGATGACCTCAGGGCTGGACGTCCCTCAACTTCCATCAATGAAGATTCAATCAAGGAGATAGAAAAACTTATACTGTCAGATAGACGTATTGCCATTGATGATCTTGAGAAGTACACAGACCTAAGCCATGGATCCACTGAAACTATTATTCATCAATATTTACAGATGAATAATATATCTGCTCGTCGGGTGCCAAAGATTCTACATTCAGATCTTGGGGGAAAAGGATCTGACATTGCAGAGAAAATTTAGAGCTGCTGGAGGAGGATTTCGTCAAATTCAAAAAGAGATTAGTGTAGGGTGATGAAACATGGGTCTACCACTATGATCCTGAGTCAAAACGTCAATCCATGGAATGGCACCGTCCACTTCCCCGGCACTAAAGAAATTAAAATCCTCAAGATCAGTGTAGAAAGTTATGGCCACTGTATTCTGAGATGCAAAGGGTGTGATCCTTGTTGATTTCTTAGAAAGTCAAAAGACGATTACCGGTGCCTACTATGCTGATTTGCTTCATCGTCTGATAGATTCTATCAAAGAAAAGCGGCGAGGAATGCTGACGACTGGAGTTCTACTACTTCATGACAATGCCTCTTCTCACACTTCTCGCGTTGCGAAGGCTGCTGTGCGACAGTGTGGGTTCGAAGAGCTTCCTCACCCTCCATACTCAGACCTGGCACCAAGTGATTCCCACCTGTTTCCTAAACTGAAAGAACACCTTCGTGGAAATCGCTATAACAACGATGACCCCAAAGCTGCCGTGAATGGGTTTTTAAGGGTGGCTTCACAAAACTTCTCCCTGACTGGAATTGAAAAGCTTCACTATCGATATGAGAAGTGTATTGAAAAGCAGTAAGATAATATTGTAAAATAAAATTAAAAACACTTTCTCGATTGTTAGTGTTGTTTGTTAGGCCAAGAAGTTTTTGACCAGCCCTCGCACAAGTATATGGACCGCAGTTGTAGCATATATTGACTGTATTGATAATTGACCGCCTCCGTGGTCTAGTGGTAGAGCGTCCGCCCGAAAGCGGAAGGTCCGGGGTTTGATCCCCGACCGCGTCATACCAAAAGACGTTGAAAGATGGTACTTGTTGTTACCCTGTCTGTCGCTCGGCATTAAGGGGCTAAAACAGGGACTGGTCGGCTCGGGGTCAGTATACTGTGTCTGAGTGGGGTATTCATGTTAAACTGCGGCATGGTATCTCAGTGGGCTAACATTATAAATCGGCATCAGTCCGGACTAGTACAAGCAGCCACACATACACGTGCATGCACGTGGTTATGTAAGTGCAATAATCTTGGACGCGACGTTAAACCCAATTTCACCTCACCTCACCTGTATTGATAATTAGATTAGTTGATAAATATTCAGGTAGCGTTTATCTAACACATATATTACTAACGTGTCATTGTGAATACCTCTCCAGCGGTCTGTCGATGTGATATTATTAATATAGCGTCCTCGCTTTGTCCATGCATTACCTGCTTAACGACATAAATCTCCCTTAGACGTCCACACCTGGTCCGACTCAAGCACGCACTCCACGTCCGAGATACAGCCAGTTAATAATGATGACAAACGGCTAGCGTCCAGCCAATGGTCAGATGTCGACGGAGGTACGACGTGGCATCAACAATGCTGGA